AATGCTTTTCGGAACACTTTCGAACTCTGGAACACTATTCCCAGTGCTTTTCTGGAACACATTCGGAACGCTTTTTGGAACACTATTACTTAATAATCAGGATTCAGGCCTTTGGCTCCTGGGAGATCTTGTAACCTTAGATGTGCCTATTGCAAGCACCACGGGTTACCTGTCCTACGAACACACCGCCTCGGGGCGTCTCCCGGACTGTACCACGAGCAGAACCCCTGAACCTTTCATCTTAAACCGTCAACCTGCGACTCCGAATCCTTAAATCTTTCAGGGGCTTGGAGCCAAGTTGAAGGCACAACCCATCCAAACCCTGAACCTTCGCTGCAGGTTGTTGTGAGTGCACGGTTTGGGGGTTTGGAGCGGTTTGGGGTGCAGGTGGGGGCTTAGGTGGGGATAGGGCTTAGTCCCAGTAGTAGACGGTTTAGGGTCTACGACGAACCGTGTACTTTCAGCGGTCCACCTCCAATCATGTTAAGATCTGTCCTCTAGAATATAGCCTGCAAGGGGTTGACGGATTTTTGGAATCTCTGGCTCAAGTGAACCTAGATATAAACCCTGACAGAAGCCCTATATAGGAAGTCTTGCAGAACTCCAGAGAGGCCTTCTCAACAAACCCTTATCACAAGAAGCCGGAAAGGAGCGCCAAAAGAGTCATTGCAACAACCCTAAACCCTAAACCCTAAGCCCTATATATACACCCTAAACCCTATCTGAAAAAAAACGATCTCCGAGAGCTGCCTTCGGATCAGTGTCGCCCCCCTGGTCAGCCGAAATGAATGGAAGGGTATGGGTTCTAGACCCAAGAGTAACCTGGGAATAAAAAGGGTGCCCTTTTTGGTTTAAAGGGGCTTATAAGGGAACCTGAACCCTACAAAAAGGGAATAAGGGCCTACTCCAGGTCCTAGGGTTTAGTTTAGGGATGAGGGTTCAGGGTTTATAGAGTCGAGGCGTCTAGGGTTTAGGGTTTAGGGTTAGGGTTTAGGGTTTAGTTTAGGGATGAGGGTTTAGGGTTTATAGAGTCTAGGCGTCTAGGGTTTAGGGTTTCGGGTTTAGTTTAGGGATGAGGGTTTAGGGTTTATAGAGTCTAGGCGTCTAGGGTTTAGGGTTTAGGGTTTAGTTTAGGGATGAGGGTTTAGGGTTTATAGGGTCTGGGCGTCTGGGGTTTAGGGCCCATGGGGTCTAGGGTCTAGGGTTTAGGATTTAGGTAGGTTTTGCGTTTGGGGTTGGGGGTGTCAAGTTCAGTGCTGAGGATTTTGGGCTGGTGAATAACAGCACCTCTGGCTTTGGTTCACGATCTTCGACGCGGGGTTAAGGCTCTACTTTCTTTGATTTGGGGCTTGGGGGCTGTAGAGCAGGGTCTTAGATGCTGAGTTCATAAGCCCCACAAGTTTCGACTTTCAGTTGTATACTGGGCAATATTATAAGTGTAAAGTGTATCCACTCAGCTACTAAGGGGTTGAAGTACCCTAATCCCTAAACCCTAGGTCCTAAGACCCTGCGACCTTAAGACCCCAAAACCACAAAACCCCAAAACCGTAAACGGCGTTTCAGCTGGAATTCCCGCTGCAGAGGAACCTCGGGGAAAAAACGAATACTGGTTGAAACGGTGCCTCAGTTTTGGGTTTAGGGCTAAGGTTTCAGGGCACACCCCACTGTAGTACGATCGGGATGTCGGTTTTGGATCCGGTTTGAGACCCTTTCAACCCCTATCTCGCAACCTTCCATTCGAACAAAACCCCTTGAAGCCCTCTCGAAACTACCCTAAACCCTAAACCCTAAACCCTTTTTGTCCATGGCCGAAGACCAGGCCCCGTCCGTCCCTCCTGCATCGCCGAAGCCGGGATGCGGCCGGCATCCCGCCCTCCAAATCCTGACGGGATTTCATAAGGTTTAACTTCCGGGGTCCCGAACCCCTAACCACTAAACCCCTAAAGGGTGCTGTTGGGTTTAGGGGCTTTGGTGCTAAGTGGTTTAGAAGTCTCCGGAGCTTCGGGTTTAGAGAAAACGATGTTCGCTGAAGGCCGCAAGGAATTGATAGAGAATCTTCAAGGGTCTTATGACGGTTTTGCGGGGCTGGAGTTTCTGGAACAACGAGGATCTTTTGCAATGGATTGCCTAACGGCTTCATGAAAAGCAAGCAAGGGTTTTCTGAAACAGGCGGTAGGATGTAGCGTTTACGGTGTATACGGCTCAGGGTTGAAGGTCTTGCGCTCACGGCTTCGAATGTCTCAGGTGTTCGGATTTAGGCCCCGGAGTTATAGTGTGTAGGGCAGCGTATGGCTTACGATCTTTGTGCGTAGTACTCAGGATTGAGGGTCTCTGGGCCGGAGTAGAGGTGACCTTTAAGCTCTGAGCTATATAGCTGAAAAATTCAGAGAAGGATCCCAATGCCCAGAGCCCGAACCCCCCCAAAAAAAAGCCGACAAGATTTCAAGCAGGCGAACTTTCAACTACCGAGGGACAGATCCCACCATCTAAGCCATGAAGCACTGGTTCAAAAGCTTAATAGGCTTTGGGCGTTTGGGGTTTAGGGTTCCTTTAAAGGGTCTATAAGGGTTACTATCAAGGTACTAGAATATAGGGGCCTCAACAGGGTTTTGGGGCCCGTTATACTATAATGGTCATAAGGAACCCGCAAAAAAGAACAGGTAATTTTGTAGGCCCCTATAGTACGCACGTCCACGGCAGTAAGCAGCTCCAAGCAGACAAACCAAACATGTCATAAAATTGTTTAGGGTTTAGAGTTTAGGGTACCGCTGTGTACGCCAAGTGTATTACCACCTAAGGCCAGTGAATGGCAATCACTATGAATGCTGCTGTTGCTTTTGCTTCTGCTGCTACCACTACCACTACCACTACCACTACCACTACCACTACCACTACCACTACCACTACCACTACCACTACTACTACTACTACTACTACAACTACTACTACTACTACTACTACTACTACTACTACTACTACTACTACTACTCCCGCTACTACTACTACTACTACTACTACTACTACTACTACTACTACTACTACTACTACTACTACTACTACTACTCCTACTACTATTGCTACTACTGCTAGGGCTACTACTGCTGCTCCTGCTACTCCTGCTACTCCTGCTACTCCTGCTGCTACTACTACTACTACTACCACTACTACTACTACTACTACTACTACCACTACTACTACTACTACTACTACTACTACTACTACTACTACTACTACTACTACTACTACTCCTACTTGTGCTTCTTGACAATTCCCCTGCCTGGTGCCATCAGGTCTCGTCTCACCCGACTGAGCCACAAAATGTCTGCGACGTCGTTCGCAAGGAGATCCGGAGTTGGGGCTTCAGGGTGTAATGTAGGGTTTAGGGTGTAGGGTATAGGGCTTAGGGTTTAGGGGTTTAGGGGTTTAGGGTTTAGGGTACGGTGTAATGTAAGGGCTGAATAATTAGCACAATAGCTATGACAAGGAGCCGTAAGGAAGAGTATTGGTGAGTATCCTGGCGTCTACAGCATGGTTCTAATCCTAATCTTTGGTCTTGACAGGCCTTAGTTAAGGGCGCAGGCTTTGCGGATTCAGGGTCTCGGAACGGCTAAAAAGTTTAGAGGGCAGTTCCTTTTTGGGGTTCCCTTTAAAGGGTGCCTTAAGGAGGTACTATAAAGGATCTATAAGGGTACTATAATCTAGGGGCCTTAATACTGGAAAGTTTACCCATAGGCCCTAAAGTAGTTCCTTTTTGGGATTACCTTCTAGAATCCTAAATATGAACCCCCAAAAGGAACTACTTTGGGGCCTTTGGGTAGAGGGTACTGGCAGACCAAGAGTTTCGACCCAAGAAACGCTTCTTCCAGCAACTCTTGTGGAGGACAAGCGGTGTGTGGGAATATTCCTTAAGCCATATTAGGGATCCTACTATTATGCAAGGTATATTCCTGAATTAAGGAGTATTCCTTAAGCCATATTAGGGATCCTAGTATTATTCAAGGTATATCCCTTAATTAAGGGGTATTCCTTTGACCATATTAGGGATCCTACTATGATTCAAAGTATATTCCTCAATTAGGGATATTGGAGTCTCTGCACGAAACTGGAGAATAAAGAGGCCCACACGAGGAGTTTAGTGAGGAACTCGACCTGAAGCTTACAGTTCGAGGGTGTGCGGTTTAGGATTCAGGGTATAGGGCTCGCCACCAGCAGTGTAGCAAAGAGGCTTCAAGAACTGCCCATACTATTCCTTGGAGTTTCTTGTTATGATAAGTTACTACTATACTGAACTTAGAACCCTAGCAAAAATTATGATTTTAGCTGTTTCTTAGGGATTATAATAACCAAAAATTAAGAAATATTTCCAAGAGCCCCTAAGACTACTCCAATTCTTAAGACCAGGGCCCTTCTCTTACGGACCCCCTGTAGGACCCTTTGTAGCAACCCTTGTAGAACCCCTTGAAAGACTCGCGTTTCGGGGCCACGGTGTGGAAGCACCCGAGCCTTAGGCAGCCCTGGCGGACCCTAAACCCTAAACCCTAAACCATCCTTAAACCAGGCTCGAGGGTTTTCGGGTTTCCGTCCTGCAGCACTGCAAAGCTACTCGAACGATAAGCCCGCCTATTGTCGAAGTCCCCCTACTCCGAACCTAGAGTGCTGCAAACAAAACCCTAAATAAAAAGAGCCACGGTTTAGGGTTTAGGGTTTAGGGTTACAAAGCTTTGACGGTTTCGGTGTAACGTACCGCTTCCAGCATGCGTATGGGCCGTTATGCAGGATTTGAAGCTCGGGAGCCGGGTCTCCGGGAATGAAGGCTGGAAACAGTCCTACGTAACAGTCCTAACACAACGAGAACCTCTCTGCACACCGAAACTTCACAGCCTACACCTTAACCTACCAACGCCCACATTTTGGAAGGTCCTTACACTAAACCCTAATATGGAATTGAGAGGGACCCTACGAAAAAGTAGGTTCCAGCGGACCCAAGAGGCACGCATGTCCTCTCCAGGCGTTGCTGCAGAATTCGGGGCAGCTTTGTCCCCTGCGCAGCTCTCCGCACCAAACACTGAAAGACTCTGCAGTCCTAAACAGGACACTTTAAGACGCATGAGCGAAGCCCTAAACCCCAAAATCAGGAACAAAATCGGCCCAAAAACTAACTACAAGGTTTCGGGTCTGTAACTTACAGATGCCAAGAACTCTAGTATCGGTCAGGATGCATTTCGGCGGTGTAGTTCGAGATTTGGCGCTTTCAAGCTGTGTAAAGTCTCAGTGTTTGGGGTTTGTTCTTGAGGACTGTTGCGCCAACTAAACTAACAGGTCAATTGGTCTGCGGCGTGTGGCACACGTACTCCGGGTCCCGCTTATCTAAACGACACTCCTGACCTCACTTTTGCCAGGCATGACACTGCCATTCTGGACTGCACGAGCAGCTGTCACAACCCGGCAAATGGCTAGCATAAACTGGCAGATTAGCATCTAAACCTAAACCCTGATTCCAAGTTAAGCCCGAACCCCAAGCCCTAAAGCCCAAACCCCAAACCCCTACACCCTGAACCCTAAACCCTAAACCCGACTGCTTAAACCCTATCACGGCAGAGCTCGAGTTCGGGTCCCCACTTCAAACCCCGATGTCATCCTGAGCTTCCTCAACTACCTCAGCCTCGGGACCGAAACTCGAATATAGCTTAGAGGCTTATACTATATGTGAAGATGTGGCATAGTGACGTAGAGACTAAGGTACTAACTGCTACGGTTACGGTAGTGGACCCCAAAACCTGAATAATCCAAAAAACAGCTGAGAGTTGTGCGTTTGGGCCTCCTTTCGCCGATGTGGAGGAGGGACCTCCCATGCAGCGGGCGCACCTCAACTTCGTGCGGATCACAAGATCAAGGCTTTGGGTCTTTCGGGCTCAGGGAACCGAGGTTCGGGCGTTTAGGTTCAGGGCTTTTCGGGCTTGGGGTTTAGGGCAAGTTTATATAGGGTGTGCGTTTGTGTGTGAGTGTGTGTGTGTGTATACTCATCCTCACCCTGTGAAGTGACTGTGGTGGGAAACATGACTCGGGGCACGTCACTAGAAACCCCTCCACCCTCAAGAACTTGCAACGCAGCGGCCCCGCCACAGATAACCCTAAACCCCAAAATCTAAACAGAAGCTTCTCAGGCCGCAGGATTGTGAAGTGTAAAGATACGGCATCGGCGGCTGTAAAACTCACAGGATCGATGTCATAACAAGGACCCCTAACAAGGTAGGTTCTTCGGCTATATACTGGTAAACCCAAAAGTCTGGAGAAAGGTTAACCACCATGTCGAACTCGCAGGCTAAACTCTCAACTCGCTTCGCACCCCAGGGAGCCTGCCACTCATGTCTATGCTCAAGTTTGACTTGAAGTCAACTTTGTTTAAGGCCCGTGGTGTCCCCGGAACATCCTGCGGCCCTGAACTGTAGGGGCTGGGCACACCGGCAGCCAGCGTTGCAAGAACTGTTGCACGACCTGGGCATCGATAGGGCTTGAAGGGGAGTATTCCTGAGCGTTTGGGGGTTTTTGTTCCCAGAGACTCCAATATCCTTTAATTAAGGAATATACCTTAAATCTTTATAGGGATCTTACTATAACTTAAGGTCTATTCCTTAAGTAAGGGATATTCGAGTCTCTGGGTTTGTGGTTTGGAGCGAGATAGCGGCGTTTGCCGAGCTAATCTGACGAGAAGCCGACTTGCAACCACTACATGCGTAAATTTTGCAAATCGTACAAGTTTAATAAGGGTTGCCTCAGTTCGGTGTGCCTTTGTGCTTCTTTAATTTATCATCAGCAAATAACCCGACTTGTAAAATTGTCAATATGCTGAACGAATCCTTTGCACTGCCTCTGACAAGGCTTCGTGGGTGGTGGTAGTGCCCGTAGCAGCAGCAGTAGTAGTAGTAGTAGTAGTAGTAGTAGTAGTAGTAATAATAAAACACGAATACTAACTTGGATTTATTGATGGTAGCAGCGCTAGAAGTCGCAGCAACCAGGCACAATCCCAAAGCAATGGGTAGTTGGCCGTGGTCAAGCACTGTCCAACATTGGTCACGTTGTTCGATGCCATGCCACGCGTACCATCCAACTGCAAAGGCTCCCCCCCATGCTCCGAGGAAAAATCAGACAAGTCGCTCAGCTCTTTCAAACTGCTTGTCACACTCACACTGACCATTTTGTCCGTGAGTCGGACTTGCTTCATCCATTTCTTTGCCTCGTGCTTCTAACTGATCAAGCCTCGGAATTCGGAAGTGAGGGCAAGTGTACCCATCATCGAAAGACTCGAACACCAACGCGCCCATGCACAATGCCCACATGCTCTATCAAGCCTTTTTAAAGCCTTTCCTACGAGCCGCATGTCATATAATGTTGTAAAATCATGCCGAAGCTGCCATGCCCTACGGCCCTAAGCCCTACCTAGACCCTAAGGAACCTACCTCTTTTAGGGTTCCCTAATATGATTTCTTTGCATAATTTCTTAAAAAGGTAGGTTATTTGGGGTTCAGGTACTAAGAATCCTTGACCTTTGAACTAAAAACCGCCCACCGCCGGACGCCCGCCTCGTGCTCAATGCCCGCAGCCTGACAGGCTGCGACGAATTCTCGGAGCCATCGGCCCTGCATACACTGGACAGGGTCCATGCTTAGGCCATAGGGTTGAGGCTGAGTGCTTCAGGAGTTTAGCCTCCAAGCTTCAGGCGAGAAGCATGTTGCAGGGGCTTCGGGAGGGGTTTGGGGTCCATGGGTTTATGGTTCAAGGTTTGGGAGCTTGTAAGAGGGTTCTGTCCCACAGTTCTTCGACGAGCGTTGAAAAAGGGAGCCGCTAGGATTCCGACACTCTGTGGCTCACAACACCCCAGCAACTTTGCACAGCCTGTCTGGGGTCAAAAACCTGCAGTAGTCGCGGAACTTGCGAAGACTTTCCAAGACATCTTGACTTGCAGCCACAGAAGTAAACAAACTTGGCAATCTAATGTAGGGGCCTATAGGGTTTGGGGGGTATATTCTTATACTATAATTGCAACAAGCAGCCCCAAAAAACCCTATTCCCATGACATTGTCAGGCTCTTAGAAACGAACCTGTATTGCCTTAGAGGATTCAAATTTCAAGCATCCTTAAACCGGAAAAAACTAAACCCTACACTGCACCCTAAACATCCTTAAACCCTAAGCCCTAAACCCAAAGAGCCTAAACCCTAACACTCTAACGGAATTGAATGGATGACTGGGGTCCGAGTTATCTGTCCGAAACTGAAGCTCGATGTCGTGGTAATCATATCTCACTGCTCAAGGGCTCAAGGGAACGTAGTAAGTAGGCTCTATTTGAAGTTACAAGCGCCCTATCTACGACTATCCTCAATACTAGCTTACTTAGAACGGCGGCGTTAAGTGTCCAATACCTGGAACAGAAACACACATCGTCGCATAGAGGGCCGTGAAGCCCTGTCATGCCAAATTGCGAAACCGTGAAGCCCGATCAGGTCAAAGCAACATCCTAGACCATAAACCTCGTAAGACTGTCGGACCTGGAAAACCTCGAACAAACCAGGTCAAATCCCAGAAGAGATCAATTCAAGCACGCTGACACAGAGCTCCAACCTTTGAAGGCTTAGGGCAAATGTGAGCTTCAGAAAAGGAGGGACTGTTAGTCCCCCCAACCCCTGAACCCTGCATCTCTACCTGGTACGGTTACCGGGACCCTGACGGTATGTAGAGCAGTTGCCTCTTATGGTTGCTGGTTCATTGGTTTACCTACTGTTGGGGGTTTAGGTAAACCCTATTAGTTTCACATCGGAATTGAGATAGGGGGAACCCTTGCGGCTATAGTAGACCCTCTCACTAAAGTCCTTTCTAAGAGAGCCAGAAGTAAGGTTGAGAAGGGTACCCTTTAAGGGGTCTCCCTAAGACTACCTGGGATCATAGGAAAAACCAAATACGCCAGCCTCACCTGACGCCCTCGCTCGCAGCGCCGCTCCAAGGCACTCCACCTAAATTCGGTTCATCGACAGATGGTTCCTGTTGGCATTTGGGGCATTCACTAGGTGCCGATATCAACAGTCCCCAAAATTTGAATAAAAAATTCGGGATATCGGTTAAACAATAAAGGGGATTTAGAATTATCTCAAGCCGAAACCTAGTTTAGCTTGAGGTTTAGGATTCTGAGTTTAGGTGTGAGAGTGAAGGATTATATAGTGCAACAAGCAAATGCTCTGCACTGTAAGGGAGAAAAAGTAAAGGGCCTGTTCAGTATTGCATCGGCATGCTATTGGCGCCATAGTGTGTAGGTATGCATGGGTGTCATAATCTGTGCGCATGCATACATGCCTGCATGAGTTCAGGGGTACGGTTCACGACAAACAAGTATCGAGGGTTCGGCTTACCGTTTATGGAACCCTGAACTCTACACTTTAAATCGAGACAGTAAACCTTAAAACCAACTTTACACGCTGAACTCCCAATCCCTGACGGCAGTTTAATCCGGGCTTTGTCTAAAGCACAGAGAATTGAACCTGAGAACTTGGAACCCGAAGCCGCTTCCCCAAGGCCCTACGCAGACTCTAGATCCAAAACTCGACAAACTGCAGAGTCCGACATCCCAAAATCCAAAAGCCAAACTCCCGGCCAGGCCACAGCAGAAAGCTGGGGCGGAGCCATCGCCAGGTCAGGGACCTAAGCTAGCCCAACTGGCGAAGGATTGGGGGGTTTAGGACTTAAGGGCTGTAGGCCTGCAGGGTTCAGGGCCTGTAGCATTCAGGTTCAGGGCAAGACGTCGGGTTTAGAGCTCAAGAGCTTTAGGGTCCAGGGCTGTCTGACTGACGGTTTAGGGGTTTCGAATTTCAGGTTTAGGTTAGGGTTCGGGGTTGAGGCTGAAGTTTGTTTTTTTACACCTTTTCCTTCGCTAAACGCTCTAGCGACGAAAGACCTCGCGAGATCAGGCGGCTGTGGGCGGCAACGACAGATTCGGGTCTTCCTCGACTGCGACCCTTTGGATCGCATCCCTTGCGCTCTGAACTGGTCGAAACAAAGCGGGCGGTGACATGCATTTCCTGACAATCGTGCCCGTAAAGTTGCTCGCTGCATCTTGTTTCATTGCAGTTCGAGTGGAAAGCTGGAAAATGGTTGACACCCCACGTATTGCTCGCTGCTGCGCAGCAGAGCAGCTCGTGTAAAGTGAATAATCGTCTCCATGCGCGAGCATGTGCTGCAAGACGTCCGTCAACGTGCGATGCTGATAGGGTTGCAGGTATGTCGGGCTTTCTTCCACTGGTTAGCCCTCGCATTACCCTCATGCTTCCCAGCTCGCGCATATAAGGGTTTGGGTGCCGCACGTCCCGCGCCAGCGTGACCTGGCCTGACAAAATCGTCCGCGAGGTCTGCACATCCCTCTGCGGGATGCTCGGGGGAGACGCCTGGGATGCAGACTAGAACATGAGTTCCATCATCCTCCGGGCACCAGCACCTACTGCAATGTCCTGGTCCAAGTCCGTGGTCTGCAGGAAGGGCGTCGCCACAGTCAGGGTGGCGAGGTGCCCTTGCACGAACTTGCTGACACATGGCCCAAAACCCTAGACTCTAAACCCTCAACCCTTTGCTTTGACTCATCCCAAGAGATTCAGTCCGAATCCTGAGTCGAAAGTCTAGAGTCAAAACACTAGCGCTGCCCTCGCCTTCGAATCTAAGCTGCACCTTCTGGAGTTCCTCTAGCTGAAGCTTTTTGTGCGGTTCCTGCTCCAGCCGCTCTGGGAACTCCTCTAGCAGCTCTGCCTGGCGCTTCGTTAGCTCGGCATGGTGCTTCGTATGTAGCGCGCAACCATCTTTGTAAGTGGGGCAACAGACTGTCAGATCAGACATCAGCCCATCCAACACGACCTGCCACCCATGCACCCACACCCCGCCCGCCCGCCCACCCACCCACTCACCCACATGCGAGACCGTACCCTGATGCAGAGCATGAGCAACTAGTAAAAGCATCTCCTTGTTGTCCCGGCAGAAGTAGAGTCAAACATGCCCCCAACGCCCTATTCTACTGGCGAATCCCCCTAAAGAGGACCTCATAGTCATCCGAATTGATCCCTTGAAAGCCCCCTTATTGGTACACTCTGCTCCAATTACGACGGGCCCTCATTTTGCCAGATGTCAAACCCCGAACGCCAGATCCAAAGCCCTAACCCTAAAACCTGAAAACCCTAAACACTCTAATTCTAAAAAACCCTAAAGGCCCTAAAACCCTCAAATCCCTAAAGCCCTTAAAACCCCTCAACACCTTAAAAACCATAAAAGCCCTCATTGCCCTAAAATCCATAAAAGCCCTGAAGTACCCCTGAATGCCGCAAACACAACACCTGAAAATCATAAACGCCCTCAAAAGGCCCTCAATGCCTTAACAACCCTAAAACCACCAAAACCCCTAAATGGACCCCTGAAACCCAAAGGCTCCATGTACCCATATAGCAGGTACTTAGGCCTTAAAGTACCCATATAGGGACCCCTTTAAGGGCTAAGTACCTACTTTATGGGCACGTGGAGTCTTAGGGAAACCCATCAACGCCCCACATAACACCCGGCACGGCCGGATCGATGCCAGGTGTCGGGCTGGCGCACGGGGCCTTCGGAGGGCAGAGCAGTACTTGGAGGTTCAGGGGTAGTTATAAGTAGGGTTCCCTTGAAGGGATCTATGGGGGTATAGGGTTTAGGGATGAGGGTTTAGGGTAGCTATAATAGGGTTATACGTCCCCTAATTTATTGGTTATAAGTATAGATACCCTACTTATAACCCTACTCATACCTACCCCTGAACCTCCAAGTAGGGTTGAATCGGTTTAGGATCTAGGGTCTAGGGTTTAGGCTTTGGGGTTCAGGTTTTAGGGTCCAGGAGTTCGAGTTCGGGAGGTGGCAGTTTCGGCTCGGCGGTTTGGGGTCTTGAGGTCTTACCTATAGTCTGCATTGTAGTTCTTTTTTTGGGTTGAACCAAATATATAAGTAGAATCCTAAAAGATAACACCAAAAAGGAACTACAATGGAGACTATAGGTAGGGCTTAGAGTCTTAGAGTTTAGGACCAAAGTTTAGGATACTAGTTTGAGAGCACTTTTCCGTTTGCCCAAGAGTCTGAAGGGAAACCTGAGAAGGCATCGAGACAGTGTGGCACAAAGGCAGCGCAGTCCTATGGATTCTGGTGTGCAGGGCTTAGGGCATTTAGGGATCAAGTAATGTATTCCAGGGGCTGCACAAAAGAACAAAACACAAGCCAAATCCCATTTTCCCGCAACCTCAGAATAAATCTCGAACTCCGAGAAAAACTGACTGCGCCTCGTCCTCCAGCAGGTATACCATGGCTCCAATGATGTCTCGCCTCATTCTGAGTTCCATGTTGAGTCTTAGAGACCAGACATAAAGAGGTTTCGGTCACTTTGGGTGTTGGGTTCTAGGAATTGTGGATTTTCTTTTAGGCGCCCAGGGCTCCTAAACCCTAAACCCTACGGTGGATGATATGAATCCTGCATTACCTTAAGGACCGTAAACTGTGGGAATTATGGTATATTCCTTTTTATGGGTAATGCAGGATTTATACAATCCACCGTAGTGTGTAGACGGCTGCTGGGGCGGAGTAGGTTCGATGGTGCCACTGTTTGAGAGTCTTCGGTGGCCCGCACCACTTCCGGTTCTCCAATCTCCAATAGCACGCGAAGTTCCATTCTTGAAGCCATGAACTCAGTGTAATAACAGCAATCGCAACACCCAGAACGATGGTCATGACATTGATAATGCCAACCGACATCAAGATGCATGCAATGCATGTATGTTTGGGTGAATGGATGCATGGATGCACGGATTCATGGATATGGATGTATGTATGTACGTATGCGTAGAAATACACACATACATGCATATTTACATGCATACATCCATACATCCGTACATGCATGCGCACACACACACATACATACATACATACATACATACATACATACATACATACATACATACATACATACATACATATGTACATACATACATACATACATACATACATACATACATAAATACAGACAGACATACAGACATATAAACATACATGGTTACATGCATACATACATACATACATACCCACGTACGTACAGACATACATGTAGATATATATATATATATATATATACACACACACACGCAAGTACACGCACAACTTCAAGGTTGTCATGAGATGTTAACCCCTTGCCTCAGCCGTCTGTCGGTAAAGGTGGCCAGCCTCCTCCTGTCTTCTTACGAGCTCGAAGAGTTTAGGGGTAAGGGTTTAGGGTTTAGGGTTTAAGGGTAGACCGCCATGACTGACACAGGGGCCTTAGTAATTAGAAGAGGCTTTTCGTGTGGCTTCTGTTCGGGAACCGCATGAAATCTTCAGGCTTGTAGGTAAAGGGGTTAACAGCCGCGAGCTCGAAACTGGATGGGCGTGCAAATTCTGTATTTCATTAGCACGGCTACCATGCCGCACTGATTCGCAGCCTTTTCTAATCATTGGTTCGGCTTGACGGGCCGTCAATCCCAAACCCTCAACCAAAGCTGGCCTCAAGACCCTGCATGTACAGCTTCATGTCTATCTCCTCTTGAATTCCGGGGAAAACAAGAGTGGGCTTTGTTGTACATTATGCTATAGCTACACGAATGGCAACGGCATATTCTGTCGAGAACTACCATATAAACACACGACCACATGTAGTCACAGGATCGCGCTACGTAGTTGGACCGAAGAACGGCTGCAGACCCTCAGTGAATCAAGCCAGTACGACCATCGGCAACAAAGGAACCACGAAATCCGAACTGCCGAACGTCGTTTGCTGAAGGTGCATCCTTCATGCAGAACTCGCGGGGTCCATCTCCTGAGCTTCTTCCGGGTTCTCTTAGACCTTATCGGTTAGGTTTAGACTGATATTATAAGGCTTTGGATGAAGACTCTACCTTTGCGTCTGAACCACTTGGAGGATCATGGGACTTAGTAAGTAAGGTTATTAAGTACCTTATAATTGGGGTTAGAATCGGTTAGAAGTAGCTATAAGTATAGTTACCCTAATATAAAACCTTAGAGTTACTAACTCCCATGAACCTTTAACCAATAGACGATTTGGCTTAAAACGCGAACTTCCCTGTCGAACCCTGGCACGAAAACAGTTGGGTACCTGAGTTTTCTGGAAGCTCGGGCTGGAAGTTCCCCGGTAGGCGCTTCAAGCTATGCTTAGCATTTGGGCTTAGGGCTTGCAGGGTGCAGGGTTTAGGGTTTCGGGTGTAGGGTTTAGGTTTGGGCTCAGGGTACGACTTATGGTCTGATTGGAACATCTAATACAGCGATTAGAGTTCAGGTTGGCGGGATGAGGCGCTATACGGGCTGCAACGCACAGTATGCGACAATCCAGGCCAGGGCTGCAAAAGCATCTCAAAGGACTTGGAATCAAAGCCTTCAACCGAAGTCTTATCCACTCTAACTCTAAACCCCACCCTGCCCTGAACCCTAAACTTTACGGGTGAGACAGACGCAATCAAACTTGGACCAGGCGCTCTCGCGGAAGCATAGTGTCAGTGCATCGTCCTCGGCATCCTCCGGCGAACTGGGTTTGGGGGATCAGGGTTGCTTGCAGCATTAACTGACATTAGGGTGGTTGTCAAAATTAGGGTCCCTTTTTGGCTCCTTAATATAATACGGCACCTAATATTTAGGGTACCCAAAAAGGGACCTTAATTTTGACAACTACCCATTAACATTATTATTGATACCGCCCTTCCTCCTCCGTCCCCTCCTCCTCACTGTTTTTAATCACTGTAGCAGCAAGAAACCATGTTTAGCATGACGATTACTGTTACGTCTGTGTCTGCGTGTGTGGGGGGGGAACCCTGTAATCAAGGGCAACCAGTGCACCGCAGTTTCCTTCTGGGATCGCAGAAGGCTGGCACTAACGAAGACTTGTCTGCTTTCCTGTGATACGGTTGATGATATAAATCCTGCATGACCCGTAATAAGGAATGTACCAGAATTCTCGTTGTTTAGGGTCCTTAAGGTAATGCAGGATTTATATCATCAACAGTATGGACTAGGACCAGGAATGCCTGTACTGCACAAAGTACTTGCAAGGGAGTGTGCAAGTGATTTTGAGCGCTCCCCATGTGGCCAAATATCTTCACCTCTGGGCATCACAATAAACGAGATCAATCAAGTCAGAGGGAGGATTCCAAAAAATGTGCGTGTGTGTGTGTGTGTGTGTGTGTGTGTGTGTGTGTGTGTGTGTGTGTGTGTGTGTGTGTGTGTGTGTGTGTGTGTGTGTGTGTGTGTGTGTGTGTGTGTGTGTGTGTGTGTGTGTGCGCGTGCGCGCGTACGCGCGTGCGCGCCTGCGCGCGTGCGCGCGTGCGCGCGTGCGCGCGTGCGCGCGTGCGCGCGTGCGCGCGGGCGCGCGTGCGCGCGTGCCGCGTGTGCTGCGGCGCGCGCGCGGCGCGTGCGCGTGCGCGTGCGCGTTGCGCGTGCGCGTGCGCGGGCGCGTGCGCGTGCCCGTGCCCGTGGCTCTGTGCGTGCCCGTGCCCGCCCGTGCGCGTGTCGCGTGCGCGTTGCGCGTGCGCGTGCGCGGCGCGTGCGCGGTGCGCGTGCGCGTGCGCGTGCGCGGTGCGTGCGCGGCGCGCGGTGCGCGTCGCAGGGCTGCGCCGGTGCGCGTGCGCGTGCGCGTCGCGTGCGCGTGCTCGTGCGCGTGCGCGTGCGCGTGCGCGTGCGCGTGCGTGTGGGCGTGTGGGCGTGGGCGTGTGGGCGTGTGGGCGTGTGGGCGTGTGGGCGTGTGGGCGTGTGCGTGTGGGCGTGTGGGCGTGTGGGCGTGTGGGCGTGTGGGCGTGGGCGTGTGGGCGTGTGGGCGTGGGGGTGGGCGTGTGGGCGTGGGTGTGGGCGTGTGGGCGTGGGCGTGGGCGTGGGGGTGGGCGTGGGTGTGGGTGTGGGTGTGGGTGTGGGTGTGGGTGTGGGTGTGGGTGTGGGTGTGGGTGTGGGTGTGGGTGTGGGTGTGGGTGTGGGTGTGGGTGTGGTGTGGGTGTGGGTGTGGGTGTGGGTGTGGGTGTGGGTGTGGGTGTGGGTGTGGGTGTGGGTGTGGGTGTGGGTGTGGGTGTGGGGTGTGGGTGTGGGTGTGGGTGTGGGTGTGGGTGTGTGTGTGTGTGTGTGTGTGTGTGTGTGGGTGTGGTGTGTGTGTGTGTGTGTGTGTGTGTGTGTGTGTGTGTGTGTGTGTGTGTGTGTGTGTGTGTGTGTGTGTGTGTGTGTGTGTGTGTGTGTGTGTGTGTGTGTGTGTGTGTGTGTGTGTGTGTGTGTGTGTGTGTGTGTGTGTGTGTGTGTGTGTGTGTGTGTGTGTGTGTGTGTGTGTGTGTGTGTGTGTGTGTGTGTGTGTGTGTGTGTGTGTGTGTGTGTGTGTGTGTGTGTGTGTGTGTGTGTGTGTGTGTGTGTGTGTGTGTGTGTGTGTGTGTGTGTGTGTGTGTGTGTGTGTGTGTTTGTGCGTGCGTGTGCGTGTGCACGTGTGTGTTGCTATGTGCGTTGCATATGCACATCATCCATGCACTCATTCACTCATTCATTCATTCCTTTGTTCCTTCATTCGTTCAGTCATTCGCTCGTTCGGTCATTCATTGTTACATGCACATCCACATGCACATGCACCTTTGCAGTACATGTGCAAGGGCATGTACATGAATCTGCGTGTTTGCAATTTCAGTTACAGGCACATACACATGTATGCCAATGTGCATGCACCTATGCATATAATTGCATAAGCACATACACCCTGCACATACACGTGCACATACACATACACGTACATATGCAGATGCATATACTCATCCATGCACATATACGTGTACATGTACATGTACATGTGGATGTACATACACATGTTACATATACATGCTCTCAATTATGTGTCCTTTACATATGGGTGGTTGTCAAACTGAGGGTCCCTTTTTGGTCCCCAATTTAGCACGGCACCTAATATTCAGGGCATCCAAAACGGGACCTTAATTTTAACCACCCATATGGGTGGTTGTCAAAATTATGGTCCCGTTTGGGGTACCCTAAATGATAGTTGCCGTACTAAATTAGGGACCCAAAAAAAGGGACCTTAATTTTGACAATCACCCAACTTTCCTACACTATAGAACCCCTGAAAAGTACCCTTCTAGATCCCTTATAATAGTCCTTATAGGAACCCAGGGACCTTAATTTTGACAACCACCCATATGAATTCTACGACTTCAGGCCGGTCCTTCGGTCCCAAATTTTCAAGCACTATAAAGGGAACTCCAGAAAGTTAGAATATGGATTAATGGTAGGTTCGCCTGTAATTTACCTTAAAGGGGTTACGATAATGATATTCCAACTACCTGACTTCTACTATAATAGGGCCCCCAAAAAAGGCACATAAGCAAAATAAGGATAGAGATATCCCATATAAACCCCCCTTATACTGAATCCCAATAAGGCAGGGATATCCCCGCAAATCTCAAACACGGATGACTAGAAGCCTAGCACAATCCCTGTGCCAAGCCCAAGCACTACGCCCCTAGCCTCAACATCTCGGAATCCCGTAGCACCGACCTTACTTAAAGGATCATGGGACTTAGCAACTAAGGCTAACTAAGGTTATTATTAGGGTAACTATACTTATAACTACTTATAACCCCAATTAGGGTACCTATACCTTACTTACTAAGTCCCATGACCCTCCAAGTAAACCTCAAAACATCCACGAGCGATTCCCGGAAGCCCAGCACGGCATGGAGCCTGTCGCAAGATGCAACCGAACCTGTAGCCGGACGTCAAGGCAGGGGTTTCTTGGGATCCCATACCATTATCTTATCTAGTTCCCGGTTGGGGTAGGATCGAACATGTACATGTTTATTCCTTATTGGGTTTAAGTACCCATAAAAATGCAAAATGTTACCATAGAGGGGCCTTAACAGCTATTTAGAACAGGCTGTTTGGGCATATTCTACAACTCTCGTATTGGGACGAAAGGGGAATAACCCTAAACCCTAAACCCCAAACCCTAAACCCCAAACTCTAAACCCTGAAACCCTTAACCCTAATACCATCCAATACCCTAACTCTTCGGATCTCCAGGGGCCCACATGGCTTGAGGTTTCCCAGAGACTCCAATATCCCTTAATTAAGGAGTATACCTTAAATTATAGTAGGATCCCTAATATGATATAAGGAATATTCCTTAATTATGGGATATTGGAGTCTCTGGTTTCGGGCCGTCAAGAGCGGCTTAGAAGTAAGGGTTTAAGTTCAGGGTTCAGAATTTAGGATTTAGGGTTTAGAATTTAGGGTTCAGGATTTAGGGTTTAAAGATTTTTTGGTGGTTTAGGGTTTAGGACTTAGGGTTTAGGGTTTAGGACTTAGGGTTTGGGGTTTAGGATTTAGGGTTAGGGGTTTGGGGTTTAGGGTTTGCCGTTAACCAGAAAAGTCCTATCAACGGTGCAGAAAAGTCCTATCAACGGTGCAGCTTCGGCCCCTTCTCTGTTTTCCTGACGCGCCTGCCCTCCCAAAGCATCTTCGAAGGTGTAACGGTTGATGATATAAATCCTGCATTACCTTGAGGACCCTAGACTATGGGAATTATGGTATATTCCTTATTATGGGTAATGCAGGATTTTTATCATCCTAAACCCTAAACTGCCCTGAACCCTAAAAACCCTATAGATCCCTTAAAGGTACCCTTATAGATCCCTTTACAGGAACCCCAGGATTTAGATCATCAACCGAAAAACCTACACCTAAACCCGAAACGCGTCAACCCCCCGAGCCCTGAGCCCGATACCCAGGACCTCAAACTCCCTGTACAGCAGGAGAGTTTACATAATGGACCCCCCAAACCACACAAGCATAAGCATTTTATGGGGATATCCCTACCTTATTGGGATTCAGTATAAGGGGGGCTTATATGGGATATCCCTATCCTTATTTTGCTTATGTGCCTTTTTGGGGGGCCCTATTATAGTAGAAGCCAGAAAGTTGGAATATCATGATCGTAACCCCTTTAAGGTAAACTATAGGGGATCCTACCATGAAACCATATTCCAACTTTCTGGAGTTCCCTTTATACAGTAGAAGCCCAAAAGTTGGAAACCCCATAGCCTCAATAAGAGTAATGTATAAGGAATCCCAGCACTATTTGGCCGTAATCCGGTTTCCAACTTTATGGGGGTGTGCTGTAAACCCGAAACGCGTGAACCCCCACCCCAAGCCCGAGGCCCGATACCCAGGACCTCAAACTTGAATGCGAAACCCTAGAACACCGTACAGTGTCTAAGTTTTTGGTGTCAAGGTTAAATGGTTATGGTTTAGGGGCTTGGGTAATATGAAAGCCTGAAAAATACAAACACTACTCCTTAGAGTTCCGATTACAAGTATATTCTAATGTACCCCAAACCCTACTCTAACTGTGGAGGCCCCTACGTTAACTACCTCCACAGCACAAGAGCTTAAGCTCTCTGGCAAGACATGGGACGCAGGCAAGCAGCACCCACTCCCCGACCACAAAGTTGTCCGCGTGGAAAGCCAAGCGGTCCTGAAAGCAGAAACCCCTACACCCTGAACCCTGAATCCTAAGCCCCAAAGCCTAAGTAGAATAGGGTTTTTGGCTCCTTTATACTATAACTAGAATAAGGAACCCCTGAGGCCCCAAAAGTATGATCACCAACCCTCAACCCCAAGTAGCTTCCAGATCGGTTCTTAACGTGTAGATAACATTCAAGACTTTGGGATGTAGGATTTGGGGGGATCAGAGGGTGTAGGGTTTTCTTGTTGTGGGTTTTCAGAACTCCAACTTCCGAAACCCGTTATAACCCCGAACTTAAGCTGCACAAGCCCTCAGCAGAAAACCAAAGCCCGAGACCTGCATGCCGACATTCCGAATCCAAGCTTCTTGAGACCCAAACCCAGAAAGCAGAATAGGATTGGGGGTGTAGTCTTTTTGACACTACGAACAATATGCGGATTATTGTAAATTATACTACTACTATTCTATAGGGACTTGCCGGGATTACTATTACATACTATTGCGAGTTATTTCGACCTCTATACATATGTGCCCCAAGAGAGAGAGACAGACAGAGAGAGAGAGAGAGAGACAGACAGAGAGAGAGAGAGAGAGACAGAGACAGAGACAGAGACAGAGACAGAGACAGAGACAGAGACAGACAGAGACAGAGACAGGGACAGGGACAGGGACAGGGACAGGGACAGGGACAGGGACAGGGACAGGGACAGGGACAGGGACAGGGACAGGGACAGGGACAGGGACAGGGACAGGGACAGGGACAGGGACAGGGACAGGGACAGGGACAGGGACAGGGACAGGGACAGAGACAGAGACAGAGACAGAGACAGTGAGACAGAGACAGAGACAGAGACAGAGACAAAGACAAAGACAAAGACAACGACAAAGACAAAGACAAAGAGAGAGACAAAGAGACAGAGAGACAGAGAGACAGAGAGACGGAGATAGAAATAGAGAAAGGGGAAAGAGATATACATATCCATTCAGATATAACTATAGCCATAGATGCAAAGACATTTCGATGTACGTATCAGTGAACCGTTTCTTGTTGGCCTCAACATCTGAACCCCCTCGGATTCCTATCCCGGACAAGACATACTTGGAGGTTCAGGTAGTTGTAAGTAGGGTTTTAAGCCCCCTAATATGGGTTATAAGCATAGTTATCCTAATTTTAACTGTACGTATAACAAATTCATTAAAACAGCTGCCTCGGGAACAATTAGACGAGACGTTTGGCCTGCGTTTCATCGCTACATAGTGGCTATCAGGGAATTTCGAAAAGTAAGGTAGGGGCCTTAGGAATTAGAATCGGGTTTGGGGGTATAGTACACTAAAACTCTGATATGGAACCCCCAAGATAGTATTGGTAATTATTTCCCTGAACCTGGGCTTTTAAGAGACCAGGGAGAAAAAATTATGAACTTGAAATTTCATAACGGTTCCTATAAGACAAAAGTATTAAAGTATGGTACTCCAAAGCTCAGGAAGTATAAACCCTAAACCCACATAATTGGGCTGTGCCTTCTCTGAGGGACCCTCGTAGTGGCGGGCGATGACATTGAGGCCTGACCGGAAAGCTCGGAACTGTCGGGACATCAACGGGACGCCTTTACGGCTTACGAGTTTAGGGGTTGTTCAGGCTTCTATTATAGTAAAAGCCAGAAAGTTGGAATATGATTATCCAAAACCCTTTATGGTAAATTGTAGGGTATCCTACCCTGAAACCATATTCCAACTTTCTGGAGTTCCCTTTAATGTTTAGGGCTTGGGGCTTTAGAGTTTAGGGTTTAGAGCCTCGGGTTTAGGGTTCAGGGTTAGAGTTTAGGGGTCAGGGCGGTCGCTGGCTTCGGTGCTCTGAGATCTAAGTTCAACTTCTGCGGTCCAGATCTCCTGCCTACTTAAAGGATCATGGGACTTAGTAACTAAGGTTATTATTAGGGTAACTATACTTATAACTACTTATAACCCCAATTAAATTACCTATAACCTTACTTACTAAGTCCCGTGATCCTCCAAGTATGGCCAACTCCCCAAGCCCCGCCCATAGCAGGCGAACACTTTCCCAAGCTTCACCCTTCACATCTCCCGCGAATGGTGTAAGTTGGGCGCTAACCCCTAAACCCTGAACCCTAAACCCTAAACCCTAAACTCTAAACACTAAACGCTAAACCCTGAACCCTAAACCCTAAACTCTAAACACTAAACCCTGAACCCTCAACCCTAAGCCCAAATTGCTTGAAGAACCAGGCTGAGGGGCTCTGGCTTGGGATGGAATTGGCCGGCTCTGGTTTAGGGTTTAGGGTTTAGGGTTTAGGGTTTATGGTGTCAAAGCTCAGGGCCCAAAACGATGGAGTGAGCCAACAGCACAATGGGGGAGTTTCCGAAAATAGTGGGCCCTAAATTACTACCCTAGATAGGAGGATCCCTATCATAAGGACCCCAAAATAAGGTAGCCCTATCGGAAACTCCCATGTGGGTGGTTGTCAAAATTACTGCCCCTTTTTGGGTACCCTAAATATTGGGTGCCGTACTAGATTAGGGACCCAAAAAGGGACCCTAATTTTGATAACCACCCATGTAGCAAACAGTGACCATGCTCGGATTCAGAACCGGGCTTCAACGATTCGATGCTTGCATGGCCTGGTTGGCTGTGAGGGCTACTTTGTGAGGTCATGCCTGCATTCTGCCAGATGGTGAATGTTCCTGAAACGCTAGAGCTGCAAATTATGCGTTGTAATGTGTAGAGACCGTGATAAATGGAAAGGATGGCAGTGTCAGGGGAACCTAGATCCGCAAATTGCCTGTCCCCAGCGCTGTCCCGTACCTTTCTGGGTTAAAGCCGGTATTCTGGGCACTGTCCATGTGCATGTAATGCCTGCAAACCTTGGACCCTAAAACCTGAATCGTAAGCCCAAAACCCCAAGCCTGAAACTTTAAAGCCTTACTATCTGTAAGCCGTACACCCGCAACATCCCCAAACCCAAGCCGCATACTTTAGCTCGTTCCCGGGGTCTCGAATACTGTGAAGCCATGTGGGAGTTTCCGAAATAGGGGTCCCTAGTTACCCTAAATAGTAGGATCCTTATGATAAGGACCCCCAAAATAGGGTATCCCAATTTCGGAAACGGGCGGAGTGCCTTGGCCCAGAAAAGGTTAACCTTTTCAACTGTGGTCGGGTTCTATAAACCCCAAATCCCCAAAGGTTAAAGGTTGCCTACTCAGCTACTACTTGGAGGTTCAGGGGTAGTTATAAGTAGGGTTATAAGTACGGTAACTATACTTACAACCTTTTTTAGGACTTATAACCCTACTTATAAAACCCTACTTATAACTACCACTGAACCTCCAAGTACTAAGTGAGGGAGAGGCTGATCGAAGGTGAATAGCGACGATGCAGACGTCCGAAAGCCTCATGGCTTTCGCTTCAGGCATAATACTGCCCGGTGTTTGGGCTTCGTTTTTACGACATCTCCGTTCCAACCGCCAGACTAAGAGCCTTACGGCTTCGGGGTTTGTGGGGAGGGCGAATATGTAATTGTGTAGGCTGGACGATGGTCCGTCACGGTCCATCTTCGCACTTTTGCGCTCGACTCGCGCGCAGTCATGAACGAATGTACATTCCCTCCGTCAAACCTAAAAGCAGCAGCGTGTCACGCATCATCTCAGACGGATCTCGGCAAAAGATGAATGAACGTACGGTCTCCACAGCTGGCCGCGGCAAACGAAGAGGAGGCAGGCGAAGAAGCCGACCTAACCTTGGTTCTACCATCGTCTGTTTGCTTTTGAATCTGTATGGGCTTTGCTCCTTGTTGCTTCAGAGAACTCCCCCAAAACAAATGAACATGGCTTATTTCACCGAAACCCTAAATCGAAAAACTCTAAACCCAAACCCTAAAATCTAAACTCTAAACCCTAGACTCTAAACCCTACACCCTAAACTCTAATGAGAGTAGAGTAGCTGCTGCGAGACGGCTTCGTCCGCCGGGTTCAAGCAGAAGGAGCTCCTGTGGGCCCCAAAAAATCAAAAGGGGAAGAGGAGGTACCTTAATTTAGGGCTCTTAGGTCCTTTAAAGGGATCTATAAGGGTTTAGGGTTTTGGGCTTAGGGTTTAGTAGGGGAAAAGGAGGGACCCTTAATGGGGACCCCTACCCTATAATCGGCTATATAATGGGTATATAATAGCTATATCAAGGGTATATACCCACATTTCCTTTTGGGGGGTCCCTCCTTTTACCCTTGGAAAATTAAAAGAGCTCCTAAACTACGGTTGATGATATAAATCCTGAATTTCCTTTAATGGGATCTACAAGGTACCTTTAAGGGGGCTCCTTTCAGGGATCTATAGGGGGTTTAGGGTTGAGGGTTGATGATACAAATCCTGCAAAGCCAAAATACGGAATGTACCATAACTCCCCGAGTCTAGGCCCATTAAGGTAATGCAGGATTTTTATAAGTATATCATCACTTGGCTGACTTCTGAACCCCCCCTAAAAGTTAAACTTTTAGCCTCCCTATTGTAGTTCATATAGAAGCCCAAAAAGTTAAAGTCTAAAGAGCCAACCAGAAGAACGCCAAGATCAAACGTAGAACCAGGGACCGCCCAAGACACCTGTAATGGAGTGCTCATGGCCCTTAATAGTGAGTATTTGGGGTATATTAAAGGGTAGTTGGGGGGGTCTAGGAACGTACCCCCAAACCCTAAGCCCTAAACCTTTGGGGTTTAGGGCTTACTGGCGTGGGAAAAAAGGGCTTAGGGGTTTAGGGATGTAAGGCTTAGGGTTTAGAGGTTCCCGAAAAATCTTGAACCTACCTTAACCTACTTTTTTGCGGGTTCTTACTATAAACCCTAAAGATAAAATTTGTAGGGACCCTACAAAAAGTAGGTTTTGGTAGGTTAAGGTACTGCCCCTATAATTAAGTGGGAGTTTCCGACAATAGGAGACCTTAATTTAGTATCCTAAATAGTAGGATCCTTATTATAAGGACCCCAAAACAAGGTACCCCTAATCTTCGGAAACTCTAAGCCCTAAACCCTAAATCCTTCTAGAACCCTTCTAGATCCCTTTAAGGATCCCTTTTAATTTAAGGGTCAGGTGGTCTTTGGAGCCCCAGGATCCGGGCAGCGCGCAGCTGCCCACGAATTCGGCCGAAGTCCCGGCCTGCACGGAGCCAGCGGGCGTTTAGGGTTTAGGGGGTTTGGGGTTTAGGGTTTAGGGAGGTTAGGGTTTAGGGTTTAGGGCTTTGGGTTTAGGGTTTAGGGTTTAGGGTTTAGGGGTTTTGGGTTTACAAATAGGCTCCATATTAGTTCCTTTTGGGGATTACCTTGTAGGATTCTAAACTATGAACTCCAAAAAGGAACTACTATGGAGCCTCTAGTTGGGCTTTTAGAGTTTAGGCTTTGGGAATTTAGGGAGTTCAGGGTTTCGAGTTTAGGGTTTAGGGTTTCGGGCTGATGGTTTAAGGCTTAGGGCTTAAACGGTTTAGGGTTACAGGTCCATGGTTGAGGGTTTAGGCCTGCATTGAGCCAGTGTGTCTCCACGGCTCTCAGAGAACTGGACAGGCTCGCCTTATTGCTTCAAGGTGCCGAGTTAAGAGGCTTAGGGTCTATGTTCACGCTAAACCCCGAGCCTTGAGCCGTAAACTTCAAGACTTAAACCCTAAACTCCAAGCCTCAGCGCTTTCTTAAACCTGACCAAGTTTCTGTCGAGCTGAAGCTCAGGATCGTCGCCAGGATGCCTGCGCAGAGACTATTACATCTTTCGAGGAAGGCATCGCACCTTGAAGGTCTGTGGCTAGAAGCCTAAACCGTGTATGGTTCTTGGTTCCGCTTGAAGTAAAGCCCCAACCCGAAACCCCAATCGTAAATGAAAGCCTCAAGCGCAAAGCCTAGACCCTAAAACACTAGATCCCTAAACCCCTATACCCTAAACCCTAAACCCTAAACCCCTAAACCCCTAAACCCCTAAACCCCATAGCCCGGTCTTTTGGCTAAGGGCGTTTCGCCATCTCTGCCTGCGCGCCTGCCTCGCAGGGCGGCGTCCACAAACGTCGGCGACTGTAAGGGAGCGAGAGCACCTTTAGGGGCTTAAGGGGTTCGTTTAAAGGGGTTCCTTTAAAGGGGTCTATAAGGTAGGGGTTTGGGGCTTTGGGGTTTTGGGGTTTAGGGGTTTGGGGGTTTGGGGTTCAAGGTTTTGGGGTTTGGGGTTGTAGGATTATGGCTGCGGCGTCTTCTGGGCTTTGATAGGCTTGAAATCGAGCTCTATCTGGATCTCATGTTGTACCTGGGTTGTAAAAGGGTTTAGGGTTGAGGGGTTGGGGTTTGGGGTTTAGGGTTGAGGGGTTGGGGTTTAGGGTTGAGGGTTTGGGGTTTAGGGTTGAGGGTTTGGGGTTTGGGGTTGAGGGTTTGGGGTTTGGGGTTCAGGGTTTAGGGGTTTCGGGGCTTAGAGATTTTCAGTTTAAGTGTCAAGGTTGAAGGCTTCGGGTAGATACGGTTCCGGGCTTCGGGACTAGGGCTTAGGGGTCTAAGCTTCTGAATTGTTGGATCTGATCTGCATGTTTGTTGGGGGGTTAACGGTTCAGGGTTCAGGGGGTGGGGCTCAGGGCCAAACCCTAAACCCTAAACTTAGGGTTTAGGGTTTAGGGCTTTAGGAAGCTATCTTTTTGGAACAGCCCGGCCTGCACAAAGCGCTGAGGCTTCAGCATGGCCTGACAGAGACAGAGATAGGCTTCACACCTCAGCCAAGACCCTCGCCCTAAACCCGAACCCCAAATAAATCAAAACCCTAAACCCTAAACATTCTGGCCCTAGACTCCTAGACCACACCAAATCCTGAGTCTCAACATCCTAAACCCGAAACCCTCAACTTGACCCCAAGGGTCCAAATACTTAATTATCATATACTCTCCAAAATAGTAACCTGCATAACCACTATCCCAAAACCGAGTACCTAATTATTGGGTCCTGTGGACCCTTGGAATACGCCCTAAGGCCCGAAAGCCCTAGAATCAAAGCCAAAAGCCCCATTCCGGGCCTCTCTTGATCGCAGAGAGCCTTAGCAACTGCTGCAGGGCTTTTGGGGGTTGGAGATTAGGGATCACTTGGAGGTTCATGGGTACGTATAAGTAGGGTTATAAGTAGGGTAACTATACTTATAACCCATATTGGGGGACTAAAAACCCTACTTATAACTACCCCTGAACCTCCAAGTAGGGATTAGGGTTCGGGGTTTAGGGTTTGGGGTTGAAGGTTTAGGGTTTAGGGCTTGAGTTTAGGGTCTTGGGCTTCAGGGCTTGGGGGCTGGCTTATTGGATATTGGCGTGTATGGTTTTGGGTTTTGGGGTTCTGGGGTTTGGGTTCATGCGCAGTAAGGTCCTCAGGGCTGCTTCTTGTGGGTAGCTGTCAAAATTAGGGTCCCTTCTTATAATACAGCACCTAATATTCAGGGTACCCAAAGAGGGACCATAACTTTGACAACCACCCTTGTAGCTTTGAATGGTAGCTGGAGGTCCTGCACCGAAATCCTACAGGATGATGTGCATAGCCTCTGACCTCCAAACCATCAAGACCGCTGATCCGTCAGTCCCCCGAACCCAAAAGATTCAAACCAGAGAGAACCTATTCATCCTCAAACCTGACTGAAACCGAAAACTTAGAGCCTAATGCAGCAAACACATCAATCCAGCCGCCCCGCAAAGTCCGCAACTGAATCCCCTAGACCCTGTAAGCCTAAACCTTGTAACCCTAAAACCTTTAACCCAGACCCCCAATCGCGCCATCAAGGGGCAGCATCGACTCCAGCGCTGTCTGTGCGCGGTGTGTTTTATGGTCTGCCCCGGAGCGGTAGGCTGCGACGGCACGGCGCACCAGACGGCAATGCTCTGGGTCTCCTTCCATTAGGTTTTTGGTCTAGGGTTGTGGGGTTTGGGGTTTAGGGTTGTGGGGTTTAGGGTTTAGAGTTGTGGGGCTGAGGGTTTAGGGTTGTGGGGTTCATGGTTGCAGGGCTGCCGAACGCTAACCCTAAACCCTCCGCAAAATCGCACTCCACATGTAGGTCCTCGGCAGTTGTTGCAGCGCCAAGAAGCACCAGCAGGCGGGGTCCCCGAGAAAGCCTGGTTGAGGCCGCAGGCTGGGCCTCGGTGGGTTCAGGGGTAGGGTTATAAGTAGGGTAACTATACATTAGGGGCCTTATAACCCTACGTATAACTACCCCTGAACCTCCAAGTAGGGCTTAGGGTCCAGGGGCTTGGAGTTTTTTGGGAGTTTAGGGCTTGTCGGGTTTAGGGTTTAGGGGCTTAGGGCTTTTTGGGGGTTTAAGTAGGGTTTATCTGGCATCTTGCATCTCACTTTAGCCCGCTTCCCATGCGGGGCAAGGGGGCAAGGGTGGGTTGCGCGATACCTTTGACAGATGTTAGCAGGTCGTTGCAACGCACCGGTGCTTTTTGCAAATACTCATCCATGGCGGCTGTCAAGGCCGACCCACATAGCGAATCCTAGCCGCATCAATGTGAAAGTCCGCGGTGGAATGGAACAACATCTGCAGGCGCAGGTCACCGTCCACCCTCCTAGTGCCATGAAGCGTGAGTCCTGTTTGCACAAACACCGCCGCAGTTCCCGAGCACTCACACAAAACATGCCGTATCATAACATCGCCTTGGTCACAGAAAGGGCAACACTCCTGCGTTTCCAGGGACTGTGACTCAGACAGCAACCTGAGGGACCAAGTTCCGGTCAACCTAGCAAAGGCCCATACCCTTTGCAAGTTTCCATTCCGCGCTGCGCAGCACTGGGAACAGTTTTCTTTGGCACCCCAGCGCAAAGAAATCCGACCCCAAACCAACCAGGAACTTTGAAGAATAAGCATCATCCCTAGCTTTCATGCCTGGCAAGACAGTGTTGGTCCTGTGCATCTTAAGGAGGTTCTTTCGGACTGCACCGTCCCACCTGGCCCGCTCCAACATCTCAGCTGCACACAAACCAGCATCTTCTAAGGAGACCCATCAAAAAAAAAGAGCTTATTCATCAAAAAAAATCGTCAAAAGCAAAAAACTTCTTGACCAATCAAAAACAACTTCTTTCCAGTCAAGAAAACTTTCTCTACATGTTTACAAGCAAACCCATGAGCATCCGGTGATTTCGTTTTTTATCAAAAAAACTTTCAGTAGTAGTAGTAGTAGCAGTAGTAGTAGTAGTACTAGTAGTCGTAGTAGTAGTAGTAGTAGCAGTAGTAGTAGTAATAATAATAGTAGTAGGAACTTTAGTAGTAGTAGTACTAGCTCTAGTAGTAGTAGTAGTAGTAGTAGTAGTAGTAGTAGTAGTAGTAGCAGTAGTAGTAGTAGCAGCAGCAGGAGTAGCAGTAGTAGTAGTAGAAATAGTAATAGTAGTAGCAGTAATAGTAGTACTAGTATTAGTGCTAGTAGTAGTACGAGTAGTAGTAGTTGTTGTTGTTGCTGTTATAGGACTACTCGTGAGAGTACTGCTAGTAGGACTGGCAGTAAGAGTACTGGTAGTAGGAGTACTGGTAGTAGGAGTACTGATAGCAGTAGGAGTACTGGTGGTAGTAGGAGTAGTAGTAGTAGTAGTAGTAGTGGTACCAGTACTAGTACTAGCACTAGCACTAGCACTAGCACTAGTACTGGAACTGGTACTAGCACTAGCAGTAGCAGTAGTAGTAGTAGTAGTAGTAGTAGTAGTAGTAGCAGTAGTTTTGGCGGTGGTGGTGGTGGTTTGTTTTCGCTGTTGTAGAAAAAGTTTCTGGTCCCTACCTTCCCCTCTTCTGAGCACAAGTCTTGACAAACTCAGCGAAGCGTTGCATTGCACCGGGGATGGCTACAGGCATGACCAAATGGTCTGCCAATTTGCGTGTACGTGGGTGCTGGGGTTGAGGCTGTCCGTGCTTTCGTCGTCTTCGTCCTCTAATAGTGAGGATCTTCTAAGACAATCAACAGTTGCTCACCACAGACAGCCGGCAACTTAGACGTACACCTCGCTCATGTTGCCGCCCGCTGACCAGGAGATGATCGGCCCAGGCTTAGGGTGCAACAAAAAAGGTGTCAACGTGCCTCACAGCTCGAGGATGACTTCAAGCCTCGCCATCCATCGTCATCGCATGAAACTTGTCGTCGTCGGACCACAAGTCAGCGATGCATCCAATGTCCAAGTCGCCGCAACAGTCCGGGTCACCCCACGCAACGACGGATTGATCATCACCTCCGGCATGTTGGTTCAAGCAAGGAGACAGGACACCCAGCTCCTGGCAAAAACGGTCGTAACCCAAAATCAATCTGATTGACGGTGTTGAACATCAGTAAAAGTAGCAGTACTGCTTCACCCGATTGAAAGCATCGTGTTCTAGTACTGTTTGGATACGCGTTCTATGATGATGAAGGCCTCATTTCTGCTCAAAGGCGCGTCCCCATACGAGAGGGTGCATGTCATCTCCTTTTGTCCGAAACGTCCTCCGCTTTCAATTAGCAATCTTCTGTGCATTTGCGCCCCCGTCCCCTAGCCCTATATGGTCGTTATATGTGGCATGAGCACAGCTCCATTATCTCGTCTTCGCTTACTCTTCAATGCACGTATCCCCCTCGTCTCCTTCCCTTCAGTGTTCTGTCTTTTCCGTTCCCGATTCCAAGATGAATAATAGTAATAATAGCACTCGTAATACTTTTACTGCCTGTAGTATTCGACTAGTGCTACCCCAGTCTGCCTTCCATTTTCCCTGTCTGCCTTCATGTATTCCTTCCTTGCATCCTTTCTTCCTGCGTTCCGGCTGTCCTTGCTGTCCAATGTCCTTCGTTTCTTCCTTTCTTCCTTCCTTCCTGCCTTCCTTCTTTTCCGCCTACCTGCCTTCCTTCCTTCCTGCCTTCCTTCCTGTCTGCCTGCCTGCCTTCCTTCCTGCCTTCCTTCCTTCCCTCCTTCCTGCCTTGCTTCCTTCCTTGCTTCCTGCCTTCCTTCCTTCCTACCTACCTTCCTTCCTTCCTTCCTCGCCCTTTCTCCCCGCATTCCTTCCTTCCTTCCTGCCTTCCCTCCTTCCTTTCTGCCTTCTTTTCTTCCGTACTCTCTTCTTCCTTCTATTGCAAAGAGAAAGTTTTTTCATTGTAAATATTTTTTTTGTGATTGAAAATAAGTTCCTTTTTGATGGAAAGCAAGTTTGCTGTTGGTTGGCATCCCCATCTTCTACGTGAGGGAGGGCTCCAGTTGCAGTGGCACTTGCTAGCTGGTGCCTCAACAGCTCCACTGCATGCCACCGGGTACCAGTAGGCAGAGATTTGGCAACAGCCAACATGACCGCTGCAGGATGCTCACGCGGTAACAGTTGAATGTTTAGGGTTTAGGGGCTTTAGGGTTTAGAGTCAGGGTTCAGTGTTTAGGGCCAAGTTCCGGCTTCGGGCTTCTTGGGAAAACCCCGAAATCCTCAATCCCTCGGCCCTCAGCGACATTGGGCTTTGGTCTTCGTGTCTCGGTGATGTGGATGATGGATGATGGCGGTGAGAAGCCCCAAGATTTGGGAATGTAGGCTCAGCTAGTCATCGAGACTCTGGGATGCAGATTTAAATTCCTCAGGATAACCGGGTTCTGGTTTGCAGTCGGCGAGAAAGGATGCACATATTTCGAGCAACGAAAACTATTCGGGTGTGTTAAGACATACCGCTCCGTCAGCACAGTAATTAAGGTCCCGGCTTTTTCCTGTATGGGAACTGTACAAGGGTCAACCTGGTTTAGGGTTTAGGAGCAGGGAGCAACCTCGTTCAGTTGACTTCTGGCCCGAGTGGCAGATGGCCTGCACCAGCAATGGTGCATGACGGACATTCGTCGCACGAAGGTCCAGCTGCCTCTGCTCGAAAGGGAAAGAAATCAGTGGCCCAACAAGCCAGGAACGGCAGGACAAACAACTCATCTGCTCTTCAAATTCTAAGCAAACTGAACCAGCAACCATTTTGAAAACGGGCTCGTCTACTGCACATTGAACGAGCTACTACACAACGCCTGGCTCCAATTTCAGGCTTTAGGCTTGTGGCTCGTAACACCCTTCCAGGTCTTGAAAGTTTCACGGTTTATGATTTTAGAAGCTTAAGGTTCACTTAAAGGATCATGGGACTTAGTAACTAAGGCTATGTTTATGGGAACTATACTTATAACTACTTATAACCCCAATTAAGGTACTTATAACCTTACTGTACTTACTAAGTCCCATGATCCTCCAAGTAGGATTTGAGAAATGCTTTCGGGTATTGAGCTCGGGACACACCACTGCAAACCTCCGACAGGACCAGTTTATAGCCCTTGCAAGTACAGCATCAGCCCAACAGGAACCCTCATCAGCCCCGCAGCCTACACCCTAAACCTTACACTCTGACCCCCAACACAGAAATGCAACACAAACCTAAAGACACTGAGACCCTGAACCCAACAGAAGCCGCAACCTAGGAGAATCTCAGGCTCTCCCAACCCCAACCCCTGCGCCCTAAACCCCAAACCGTAACCCTAAACCTTGAACCCTGAACTCTAACCACTGAACCGTAAGAGGTGCTCCAGGAAGCCCATGTTGTTGTGCAGTGGGCTTGTCGTCAGCAGTAGCGCGGCAGAAAGGCTAGAAGGTTCCTGGAGTGTAGGTTTCAGGGGTTTAGGATTTCGGTGTTGTTTAGGGTTCAGGATTTGCGCGGTATGGAGCGGTAGTATCAGAACTTGCATATTAAGGCTCTCGACGGCTATATCATGTTTTGCAGGCATTCACATGTTATCTATAATATATCTACCTATATATGTAGACATGTATATGAATATATATATATATATATATATATATATATATATATATATATGTGTGTGTGTGTGGGTGTCTGTATGTAAATATGATATATATATATATATATATATATATATATATATATATATATATATATACGCATACATATATATATATATATATACACATATCAAACATCAAGTTGCAGCCTTACTGATGTGCTTCCCGCAAGAGTTCCTGAACAAGAACCCAGGATCGAGCCAGTGCGTTTTCTTAGGCTTGGCACCCAGATGGAGCAAAATGTCGGCACTTGCCGTCAAAGTGCGCAGATCGGTGTGTACGACAAGGATCACCTAGCGCGAAACAGAACAAAATGTGCAGCCTAATCCAAGGGAAACAGGAGGGACCCTTAATGACCCCTAGGTATATACCCTTAGTACAGCTATTATATATCCATTACATAGCTCATTATGGAGTAAGGGTCCCCATTAAGGCTCCCTCCTTTTCCCCTTTGACCTAAACAGTGGGCTCTGAAAAGCCCTAACTCGGAAAATGCTAGCTTACAGACAGGCCCGCCTGCCGTGGAAGTGCAAGTTCGGGGCCAGAATGCCTGACGTAAGGGCACCCTTTTTCGTAATTTTCCGTTTTAAGAAGGAGAGCCTTGACCAGAAAGGGCAACAGAGTACCTAGAGTCTTCATTGTAGTTCCTCTTTTCGGTTAACCCAAATCTCTATTATGAGATCCTAACCATAAAATGCCATAAAACTGGCTAGCCAAAGAAAGGAACTACAATGGAGACTATAGGTACTACCGGTTGATGATATAAAAAAATCCTGCATTACCCATAATAAGGAATATACCATAATTCCCATAGTTTAGGGTCCTTAAGGTAATGCAGGATTTTTGTCATCAACAGTCAACAGTACTCAAGAGCCAGAATGCCTGAAATGAGCCTTGAGCTGCTTAGCATTGGCGAACTTCAGCTGGCCCACACGGATGTCAAGCAGGCTCGCGAGCTGTCGTTTTTCAGCCTCCTTGGGTTTTAAGACTTTAGGGGTTAGAGTTTGGCACTGAAGGGTTTAGGGTTTAGAGACGTGCACCTGGACCCCCAACTACCCTCTAATATACCCCAAGTATCCACTGTTAAGGGCCATAAGGACTCTATTGCAGCGCCCTTGGGATGTCCTGGCAGGGCTTAGGCTTTTAAAAGGCTTGGTTTTGGGGATTTCGGGCCTCGGTCTCAAAGCTGTAGGGCCCAGAGGCCTTTCGAAGCCAGGCCAGGGGAAAGAACTGCGCAAACATCAAGAAGGAAAGCGCGATCTCTGGCGATCCAGTGCCGGAACCCTCTGCTGAGTAGCCTCCTTTGGGTGGATGCATGGCTCTTGCGCAGCTAAGTGGTTGTCAAAATTAAGGTCCCCTTTTGAGTACCCTAGATATTGGGTGCCGAATTATACTAGAAACCCAAAAAAGGACCATTTTTTCGACAACCTCCCATCTGAGAAGACTCCCATGGTTTGGCCTGAACATAGCTTCGCCGGAAGCAGGGGGCATCAATCAATCCATGGGTACCAGGAGGGACCCTTCATAAGGTATATACCCTTAATATAGCCATTATATATACATATATATATATATGTATATATATATATATATAGAAATACACACATTACATAGCCCATTATAGGGTAGGGGTCCCCATTAAGGGTCCCTCCTTTTCACCCTTTGAATCAAGCTCTCGAAACTCCAATCTGGAATCTCCAAGCCCAGAATCGGAAACGCCATGATTCCATCTATTCCCTAAGAGCAGATTCCCTGTACCTCCCCGAAAGCCTGAAACCAAAACCCCAAAGATTCTAACCCCTAAACCTGAAACCCTCACACCCAAGCCCCAAACCCCTGCATTCCGAGACAGAAATATAGTGAGCCGCAGAAAGTTGGAACATGAGTTTAGGATGATAAGTGCTAGGATTCCCTCTACTGTACCTTAAGGGAATGAGGATACTGATGTTTCTGGCTTCTACTGTATCCAAGAGAACCCGGTTAGAAGCACATAAAATACCTACAGAAGCCTGGTAGGGCCGATTCCACGACCCTAGACCCAACTCTAAACCCTAAACCCTACAAAACTCTATACACCATACAGAACCCAAGAGCCTTCGATGCCGGGGTGATGGCAGGTCATGCTTGACATGGACAACGAAATCAGCTTCATCCTCAGAGCACAGTGTTTGGAGCTTTCTTAACGTTTAGAGTTTAGGGTTTAGTGTTTAGAGTTTAGAGCTTAGAGTTTAGCGTTTAGGGTTTAGGGTGTAGAGTTTAGAGTTTAGGGTTTAGAGATTAGAACTTAGAGTTTAGGGTTTAGGGTTTAGTGTTTAGAGTTTAGAGCTTAGAGTTTAGCGTTTAGGGTTTAGGGTGTAGAGTTTAGAGTTTAGAGTTTAGGGTTTAGAGATTAGAACTTAGAGTTTAGGGTTTAGGGTGTAGGGTTTGCCGTAGAGTGGCGCAGAAGCGGAAGGATCTTGGATCAGTGTCTTTTCGAGTGCGTCGTCATGTGACGACTGGCCGTTAAAGCCTGATTGTGGATGGCTCTCTCTTTTAATTCTCCCACCCCACGCCGTCTAAGGCGGCCAAACCACCCAAACCTATTCCTTTTAGGGTTTAGCACCTAAACTCATTCCAAGGTTTCTCTCTCTTCAAACCGCAAACCGCAGGGCAAGGCAGGCAGGGCAGGGAGGAGGGCAGAGCAGAGCAGGGCAGGGCAGGGCAGGCCAGAACAGGCAGGGCAGGGCAGGGCAGCAGCAGGGCAGGGCAGGGCGGGGCAGGCAGGGTGCTTGCTGGAGGGTCCGGGGCCCCCTTAAGGGGGGGTCCCTTTTTTGGAGGGGGCCCCCAGCCCAGCGCCCTCCAGGAACAGGAGCTTGGGGTTTAGGGTAATGACTTTATTAAGGGACCAGTACTGGTCCCGAGGAGAACGTGTTCCGGTACCGGGTCGGACGTGGGTGCTACGGTCCCCATGGCTGTGGGGAGGCGGGCAAGCGTCTTGGGACGTTCTGCGCCATCGATGTCGAGGGGCTTAAGCGCCGCCCACCCACGTAGGTGGGCGGCCTAGGCCTTGAGTTTAGAGTTTAGAGCTTAGAGCTTAGCGTTTAGGGTTTAGGGTGTAGAGTTTAGAGTTTAGAGTTTACAGATTAGAACTTAGAGTTCAGGGTTTAGGGTTTAGGGCTTAGAGTTTCGGGTTTTGGGTTTAGAGTTTAGGGCTTAGGGAGCCTGGGAGGCAGATGTCAGGATCTTGATTTCTGGTGTGTCTGCTTTTTTTCCACCGTCTCGGGGCTGGGGTCCTGGTTTAGGGGTTCGGGGCTTAGGGTTTAGAGCTTAGGGGTGAGGGTTTAGAGTTTAGGCGTGAGGGTTTAGAGCTTAGGGTTTATCTAGGGGCAAGGGCATGGGGTTTAGGCGTTCGGGGTTGATGCGTTGTCGACGCTTTATCGCATCGGCGACCGGAACAATGACCTCACCTGACCTGAAAGCTCTCTACTAACCTTGGAGTCGAAAAAGTCTGAGCCAGTGTACTAAGCTCCTGGGTAGCCCATTTCTAACAGGGGTACCCTTTTTCCGAAGCTTCACCTTGAATATTTAGAGGGGACTTTGAAATCAGAAGGGCAAAAGGGTACCACCGGAACCCAGTGTGAGCGGGGAGATCGAGGCCCCCTTGCAAGGTACTGTTGATGATATAAACCCTGCATTACCCATAATGAGGAAGATACCATTGTTCCCAGAGTTTAGGCTCCTTAAGGTAATGCAGGATTTTTATGATCAACCGTAGTATAGGATGGAGGAGCCTGGGTGCTTGCAATAGGATTGGAGTGTAGAGCGTGCCATGAGTGAAGAGGCGTTATATAAGTAACATGACTACTTGGAGGGTCAGGGGACCTAGTAAGTAGGCAACAAGCAGACGAGTTACAAGTACCCTCAAAAGGGATCCTGATTGTGAATATGGTACTTATGACTCTACAACATGACTAATCCAGACCTTTCATCTGTAGCAGAGGTGTGTGCACTGTTCGGCCTGCCCTTGGTGCTAATGTTCACGCGGTTCAGGATCCTTAGGCAGTGCCCAAAGCCGAAAAGTCAGAAAAGGGCTTGAAGAAAAAAACTAACGCCCGAAAGCCGTAAACCTTAAAACCTAAACCCTAGTAACTAACGCCCGAAAGCCCTTCACCGTCCTTCACCCCAAAACCTCCAACAGGCCTTGTCCTACCCTCTCGCTCTTCTCAGCATCTCATACCCCCTACTTGCAGGCGTCACCTGAACGTCTCGAAACCCTAAGGCTCCATGTACCCAAAAAGTACATACTTAGGCCTTAAAGTACCTATGTAGGGACCCCTTTAAGGCCTAAGTAGCCATTATGAAGGTACATGGAGCCTTTGGGAAAGCCAGGCAAGCCGGGGCAATCACACTTCCGGGAAATCGCGAAGGTCCAGCTGGACGCCTTCTTGGAGGTTCATGGGACTTAGTAACTAAGGTTACTATTGGTGTAACTATACTAGTAAGTACTTATAACCCCAATTAAGGTACTTCTAACCATACTTACTAAGTCCCATGATCCTCCGAGTTGGTGCGGGTGCTTACAACTTAGCGTGGGGCGCTTTTGAAGATGTAGAGGCTCTTGCTGGGGTATTGGGGCCATGCACCCAAACAGTATCCTGTAACCCCAAAGTACCTATAAAGGGACGACTTTAAGGCCAAAGTTTTTACTATTTGGGTACATGGGCCCTAGGGGCAAGGGGTTTACAATGAAGGTGTCTATTGGTTAGGGATCTTGGAGTTCAAGGTTTAGGACATGATGCCTTGACCAACACCCTGATTTAGGGATTTGGTTTTAGGGTTTAGGGTTTAGGATGGTTTAGGGTTTGGGGTTTAGGATGGTTTAGGGTTTAGGGTTTAGGGAGAATTCAGAGAGTAAGCCCGCAGCTTGAGATTTCGGCTATGGGAGCTTAAGAGTGTACCAGGACGGCATCAGAGTCCTTTAGAATCGGTATTCAGGTGTCTAGGTCTAGAAAGCTCTAGTGAAAGCCTAAACCCGAAGCCTTCGCCTGCCAAATGTTTGTCCCTAAACCCTACACCCTAAACCTTAGCACTCCTGATGTCCAAGTCCCAAGCCCTTCAACCCGGATCTCGACACCCTCAATCCCAAACCTTAGTTACGTCCACACCCAAAAAAGGTGAGAAAATCCGTCGCCCAACCACCATTAACAAGTTCTTGCTGGTGGTTCTCTAAATTAGTGCCCTCTTGACAAACCCACCCTGCAACCCCCTGAAAGCCTCTCCAGCCATCTAGAAGCCGGATGCACGGAACCTGACAACCACCGGGGCCCTGGGCCCGCAATCCCCTGAGCCCCTGGCCACAAACCCCAGCCCACTACACCTAAACTCAGCGATGTGCCGGAAATCTTACTCATGATCTCTCTTTGACTAAACATACCCTACAACTCTTGACTCAGGAGTACCCCAGCATGCGGGCCTTCAGATAATGATCGGAATAGTGTCTTGAGGGTTCTATTCTACTGAGGATGTATTTACCAATTCTTGAAGCCCTACCTATAGTCTCCATTGTGGTTCCTTCTTTTGGTTAACCAAAACCTCTGTATTATAGGATCCAAACCATAAAACTGGTTCACCAACTACAATGAAGACTACCCAAAGGCCCTAACGTAGTTCCTTTTTGTGATTACCTTATAGAATTCTAAATTTGAACCCCCCCCCAAAAGGAACTACTTTGGGGCCTTTGGGTATGGATATACACGACTCTAAAGTTCTAAAGCCTCAAATTGGGCCCGAGGTCGCAACAAAGCTCGCCCTTTGAAAAGCTGTGGTAAGCACAGCCCATATCCATAACAGGCCGGTTCCTGCTGCCGTAGGGCGGAGGTCTTCGCAGATTTAAGCTTTAGACTTCAGGGAATAGGGTTTAGGCTTTAGTTCAGGTTGCAAGGCTACGGTTCAAGGGTGTAGGGCACATATGACATATGGTGTGGGGCTTGGGGCTTGAGGTTTAAAGGCCTGGGTCTCGGGATCTTGACGTTCAGGGCGTAGTGGTGTTAACTGATTTCGTCGACGGTGCACGGGTGACGTTTCATGGGTTCGGGGTTAGTGCTGCCTGGCATAAAATCTTCGCGTCTGGGGTTTAGGCTCCAGATGTACGGAACGAAAAAATTGAGCTTCTGGTACGTCAAGATTTGGGGTTCGTGGATCAGACAGCCACCCATGGCTACGCCACGGCGAACCAGGATTCTGTCTTGGGTTCAAGACTGAATCAAGCAAACCGCAAGCAGGAACCCAGAGCCGGCGAGACCAGGTTTTACTTTTTTAGGGTTTAGGATTTAGGGTTT